CTCTCCATCTTGTGCCCGTTCCGGTGCTTCTTCAGCCCGTAGGTGTTGCGGAACCCCTCCCCGCAGGTGCTGCACTTGAAAGGCCTCCCCCCCTGATGGGCCTGGAGGTGTTTGCTGAAATACTTGGGGTCCTTGAAGAGCTTCATGCAGGTGGAGCAGCGCAGCTCCCTGCGCGCCTCGTGCGAGCGCTGGTGCCGCAGGATGGACGAGAGGTAGAAGAAGCTCTTGGGGCAGCGCTCGCAGCGGTAAACCTTCTCCCCGAAGTGCACCCTGCGGTGCTCCAGCAGGTTGGAGCGGTAGCGGAACGTCTTCCCGCACGTCTGGCAGCGCTGCGGCCGCGCCGTGCCGTGCAGCCTCTGGTGCTCGGCCAGGCTGGACGACTGGGCGAACCTCTTCTTGCACAGCGCGCACTTGTAGGCCCTCTCCCCGGTGTGCACCACCTTGTGCTGCCGCAGGTACCACGAGCGCTGGAAGCCGCGGCCGCAGACCCCGCAGCGGAACGGCCGCTCCTCCGTGTGGCAGCGCTGGTGCCGCATCAGCAGGGCGGCCTCCCAGAACCGCTTCCCGCAGACGGAGCAGCCGAAGTGCCTCTTCTGCAGGTGCCTCCGGCGGTGCAGCAGCAGGTCGTAGGCGCCGGCGAAGCTCTGCCCGCACACCGAGCAGCCCAGCGTGCGCCGCACCAGGTGCACGTACTTGTGGGTCACCAGGGCCAGGAAGTGCTTGAAGCTCTGCCCGCACGTCCCGCACGTGAAGCGCTCCCCGCTCGGCACCACCGGGTGCTCCTCGTTGCCGTCCGGCGCCTCCGGCGCCGCCTGGTGCGCCAGCTTGTGCCACATCAGGTTCTCGATGAAGCCGAACGCCTTCCCGCACACCTCGCAGCCGTACGGCTTCTCCGCCATGTGCGCCTCCTTATGGTTGACGGCGTGGAAGAGGTCGGCGAAGCGCTCCCCGCACTCGGCGCAGCCGTAGCTCAGCCCTTCCACGCCGCTGCCGGCGCCCGGCACGGCGCTCAGCCCGCACGGCAGAGGCAGACGGTGGATCTGCTTGTGCCTGGTGAGGCTCTGAGGGTAACCGAAGGCCTTCCCGCACAGCTCGCACTTGTAGGGCCGCTCGCGCGTGTGCACCACGTGGTGTTTGCTCAGGTGGAACGACTCCCGGAACCGCTTCCCGCACACGGCGCACTGGTGCGGCTTCTCCCCGGTGTGAATCCTTTCGTGCCTCTTCAACGTCTCCCGGCGCCCGAAGGCTCGCCCGCACACCCCACACCCGAAGCTCTTCCCCGGCGCCAGGAAAACCCCGCTCTCCGTTTTCTCCTCCGAGAAAACGAACCCCGCGGGTTTGCCGACGCCGAGGAACGGCCCCGGCGCCGCCATCGCTCCGCTCTTCGCCCCGCCGTGCGCCTGCCGGTGCCGGAGGAGGCTCTGCGGCGCGGCGTAGCCCTTCCCGCACACCTCGCACCGGTAGTCGGGCCGCTGCCCGCTGTGAGCGGCCTGGTGCCTCAGCAGGTAGGCCGGGTCGCGGAATTCCTTGCCGCAGACGGAGCAGGGCAGGCGCAGCGGCCCCGCGTGAGTCTTGCCGTGCCTGGTGAGGCTCTCGCGCCGGTTGAAGCTCTTGGAGCAAACCGAGCAGCTGAAGGGCTTCTCCCCGGTGTGGATGATTTGGTGCTGGTGGAGGTGGCTGGGTTTCTTGAACACCTTCCAGCACAGGGAGCAGGTGAAGGGGCCGTCGGGGGACGCGTTGTTCACCGGAGGCACCGCCGCGGCGCCGGGAGCCAAAGCGAGGCCGCCCGGTGCCAGGATGACCCCGGAGGGCGTCGGGAGGACGCCGCTCAGCGTCGCGGTGGCACCGGGGGGCGACGGGAGGATGCTGGGCACCATCAGGGCGGCGTTGGGCGCCAGGGTGAGGCCGGCGGGCGTCGCGCCGACTCCATTGGCGGTTGCCGGGTTGACGCCGTTGGGGGTGGGGTTGACCCCGCTGGGTGCCGGGTGGACCCCGTTGGGGGTCGTCGGGTTCACCCCGCTGGCCGCCGGGTTCTCCCCGCTTGGCGCCGGGTTGACCCCATTGGGTGCCACGTTGACCACGGCGGCCCCATGGGGCAGCGAGCCGGCCGCGTTGGCCCCGCTGACCCTGCTGGGCGCTGAGTTGACCATATTGGCCCCACCGGGCGTCGAGTTGACCATATTCACCCCATTAGGGGCCACGCTGACCCTACTGGGTGCCGAGCCGACCATATTGGCCCCGTTGGGCGCCGCGTTGACCACGTTGGCCCCGTTGGGCGCCGAGTTGAGCCTGTTGGGCGCCGCGTTGACCACGTTGGCTCCATTGGGTGCCACGTTGGCTCCATTGGGCGCCACGTTGACCACGCCGGCCCCGTTGGGCGCCACGTTGACCCCGTTGGGCATCGAGTTGACCCCGCCGGGCAGCGAGTTGAGCACGTTGGCCCCATTGGGCACCGGCAAGACGCCGGCCACCACCAAACTCACCCCGTTGGACGCCGCCGTCGCCGACCCCGCACCGCTCACCCCACTGGGCCCCACCGCAGCCCCGCCGCCGGGTCCCTCGAGTCCCCCGCCGTCCTTGTGGCAGCGGCGGTGGCGGATGAGGCTGGAGACGTGGTTGTAGGCCCGGCCGCAGGTGCCGCACTCGTAGGGCCGCTGGCCGCTGTGCACCAACATGTGCTGCACCAGGTGGGAGGATTGCTTGAAGGACTTCTGGCAGACCCCGCAGGGGAAGCGCCGCTCCATCAGGTACTTCAGGCGGCGGAAGTAATTCTTCTCCTCTTTGCCCCCGACGTCGGGGGGCACCGAGGGGGTCGGGGGGGCTCCGGGCGCCGCCGCCGTCCCCCCACGTTTGAAGCCCCCGAAGAGGTGCTGATGGCCGGAGAGATCCACGATGCCCCACTGCGGGGGGGTGAAGGTCCCGGCGGACTCGAAAAGGGGCTGAGATGGGGGGGGGGGCACGGGGGGGTAGGAGGGGGTCCCGGTCTGCGCGGCCCCCCCCTCGTTCTTTTTGGG